GCCTTCTCTGGACCCCACAGATGGCGTGCGGCCCGGCGAGCCCCTGGCTGCCTTCCTCCGCACGGAAGAGGGCCCGGACGCCCCCTTCCCTGCCACCGTCCCCCTGGTCCAGCAGTGGCTGGACACCCGCGAGCTCACGCAGGACCCGGCCACCTACTCCCGGCTGGTCGCCCTGCTGGTCTACACCGCCGAGCGGGCCAAGTTCGCCACGGGCGGCGAGCGCCAGGACTGGACGCAGCTGTTTGTCGACACCTTTAGGCTGGTGCACAGGGACATCGCCGGGGCGGCGCTGGCCCTCTGCTGAGGCTGCTGCAGGGCCCCCAGAAGCCCCGCAGCCTGTGGGGGAGTCGGCCTGGGCCCCAGCTCGGGGCTGCCTGCCCCCGCTGGCCCCGCCCCCAGAACACCGCCCAGGTCGGGGACGCTCGGCCCCCCGCCCCGGGCCGCGTCTCACCCCGCTGCGGAGTCCTTCGGCCTGACGAGGCCACCTCAGGCGGGGGTGGGCGCTGCCTCGGGGCGGCCACCGCAGCGCACCAGCTCTGGGGCTCAGGGGCCGCCCCGCCCGGACTGGCGGTGCCCCCCAGCAGCGGCCTGGGCACCGGGACCACGCCCTACCAAGCCCCCTGCATGGCGCTGGGGCAGGGTGCCGGAAGGGGGTGCAGAACCTCGCAGGTGCCCCCAAACTGCTGGCTTCACCTTTGACTGTTGAGGCTCAAGCTCTTGGCCCCCAAGCTGGGGACTGAGGAACCACCCTGAACCCAGCCTGAAGGGCGGCCGGGATGGGGCGGGGCCGGGGGCGGTGTCCTGGCTCTGGCACCCCAATAAGCAGCGCTGCCGACCCGCTCATTAAAGAGACTGCTGAGACGCCCACTGCCCCGCAGCAAACCGCGGCCACGGCCGGGGGCACCCTGTGAAAGCTGGGGCTCCCCGGCGCTGTCCCAGGCCCGGGGCGGACAGGGCGGCGCGGGGGCTCAGCCCAGCGGGGCTGCTGTCCCGATGGCCACCCGGGCGGGCTCCACGCATGCCACGGCGAAGGGGCTGTTGTCCTCTGTGCCGTGGTCCAGCCCGGCCGGGGTGTGGCCAGTGCGGCTCCCAGGCCGCGCCAGGCACGGCCCCGCCGGGGTCTGGCCCCAGCCCGGGCAGCAGCCTCGCACCCTCGGTCCAGGCGGGTGACCACCCAGGGGCGGGCCTGTGGGTAGCGGCTCCTCGCAGCCGCTCCGCTGCCCCCAGGCTGGACACCAGAGGCCAGCCGGGTGGGCGGGGAGAGGGCCTGAGGGAGGCCGCCGTCCTGTCTGCTCAGGTCGGGCGTGGTGCGGGCACGGGGTGGGCGCGGCTGCAGCCTGAGCCGGCCTGGGCGGGGCCTGGGGCGCGGGGCGGGGCCTGGATCCGGGGCTCCCGGCGGGGTGGGGTTCACCCGGCACGCGCCTTGCCTGCAGAGCTGGCGGTCGCCCAGTGCACGCAGCGGCCAGTGGACATCGTGTTCCTGCTGGACGGCTCCGAGCGGCTGGGAGAGCAGAACTTCCTCAAGGCGCGGCGCTTCGTGGAGGAGGTGTCCCGCGAGCTGACCCTGGCGCGCGGGGACGACGACCCGCTCAACGCGCGGGTTGCGCTGCTGCAGTTCGGGGGCCCACGGGAGCAGCAGGTGGCCTTTCCGCTGACCTCCAACCTGACAGTCATCCAGGAGGCGCTGGACAGCGCTCGCTACCTCAACTCCTTCTCGCACGTGGGTGCGGGCATCGTGCACGCCATCAACCACGTGGTGCGCGGGCAGCCGGCCGGGGCGCGCCGCCACGCCGAGCTGGCCTTCGTCTTCCTCACGGACGGCGTCACAGGCAACGACAGCCTGGAGGAAGCGGTGCACTCCATGCGCAAGGAGAACGTGGTGCCCACCGTGGTGGCCGTGGGCGGCGATGTGGACGCCGACGTGCTGGCCAAGATCAGCCTGGGCGACGCGGCCGCCGTCTTCCGCGAGAAGGACTACGACAGCCTGGCCCGGCCCAGCTTCTTCGACAGGTTCATCCGCTGGATCTGCTAGCGCCGGCCCGTCTCCTGCAGGGGGCTGGCGGGACCCCGACCCAGCCCCGCCAGGCCCCGTGCGCTGCTGCCCAGCGTCCCCCAACTCCACCTCCAC